ACAGAGCTGGGTGAAATGTAGACTACTTAATACAGTGTGTATTTAATATAAAAGTCATGCATTATTCATTTTTGCAATTTGAATAACTTTGAATTTAGCGTCCCTGTTCCTCATCTTTTTCTTTGACGAACAATTAATTATTAAAATATAATATTGTCTGCATACAGCACCCAGGATCCTTGAAAGTGGAATGAGGTTCATGGCTTTTCAGCCCTTTTATCGAGCAGTGCACAGTACCTGCTCATGATGGGGTAATGGAATGAGCGGAGGGATAAGTACAGTGTTTCCAATATTTTTCTTAACTGGTAAGTGGCTGGAGTAGGGATGTTTTGAATTGAAAACACTAATTGGGAGAGAAGCTGGGAAAGGACTGCTCTGGTGGAGTGGACGTGGAGCGCACTGCCATCCTGCATACCCCAAGATGGATTTCCTGGTACTTCTGTATTTGCCTTTTGCTGGCCATTTCCCTATCTCCTGAGTAGCATCCATTCCTTTAGCCTGTGGAATTGCCTTACAAAGCTCTTGACATTTTACAGATGAGGAAACAGTTTCAAGGGCACCAGATAACTTGGCTATGGGAGACCAGTTAGGATTTACATTCCAGGGATGGAGCTCTGCCCACCCACCTGTTTTCTAAGTGCTGTGTTATGCAGATGGTGTTCAAGAAGCCTCTGATTTCAGCTGGAGTGTGTGACTTGTCCGTTCTCACCTCCCCCTCCCCCACTGTAGTCAGAATTCCCCGTGAAGATGCAGGACCCCAAAGATGCTGTATATTTCTGAAGGTGACAGCAGTGTGCCTTAGGACACTCTGCACCCATTGTCAGCTGGGCACTGCCTGGGAGACAGAGCAGGCTGTAAGATATCTGGAAAAAATCAGTGTACACTGATGTTCTATTTGAACTTAGAAAACTCAACCGGGAAAAACGCCTGGAAAGTTAATTCTGTAATGTAATGTTCACAAAATAAACATCATTCAAGCATGTGGCCAATTCCCCTGCTTGACCCTTGGCAGTCTAGCTGTGGCTCACCACGTTGCCTTTCCAGAAGTTTGGGGCCCTTCCTGACACTTCCATTAAAATAGAGTGTACAGGATAGGGGCTGAGAGCTAAATCTACCCACTGCCTGCTTTTTTTGTGGCTCTTAAGCTAAGAATCCTAATTAAATGAAATGCTATTTCCCCACAAAAAAATTTATTTTCTTCTCATTAAGTATATGTATGTTTTGAAGATCATATTTAGTTTTTACTAATGTTTTCCATGTTGTTAATAAGGTTGTAGAGGTGAATTTGTTATGTAAGTACCTATGTAATGTCTTTGATTTCACCTCTTGCCTCATAAAACCTAAAATCTGTCAGATGCTTTGCTGTAAAACATGAAATCAGCCAACCTGCTAGCTCTGGGATAAGAGCTTGCCTTGATTAAACCAGGGCTTACCCTGGGCTCAGAGCTGTGTTAGACCGTTCATACCGAAGATTGCAAATTTTAAAACTTACTCATGAAATTCATACATGTTATCCAGAAAAATTTGAGGAAAAAGAATTTGAAGAGAAAAAAGAAACTCCATGGGGTTCCATTGTTAATGGGCATTCCAAAAAGGGAACACAGGACAGTGAAGGGTTAAGGTCTGACAGCTATTAACTTCTTAATTGTCACAACAGCCCTGATATTCCCATAATGACACACCATGGAAATAGCTCAGAGATGTTAACACCTTTGCCCAAGGTCACACAGCCATTAAATAGTGTTGGTTTCAAAGCTCATTCCAGACCCAGGCTGATGGGAAATGACGTGGTATGCTTTTGAGGCGCTAGTAATCTAGGAAAAAGGGAAAAAATATACGTGCAAATCATTAGCGGAGATAACTGGTAAGTCCATGGTGACTTAGAATAGCATGATGCTGGTCATCGGTGAGGTGTTCCCATGTCCAGTCCTTGCAGCAGCCTGCAAGGCTTTGTCCTCTGTGTATGCTCATCACAGTTCCCTGCCATGTTGGAATTTGAATGCTTAAAGACTGTGCCTCTGCTCTCCTCATTCAGCCCTGCTGGGAATGGAGTTAAGGGGCTGTTGAGGGGAACTGTTAGACGAGAGGGCATCCTGCCCCCTGGGAGCACTGTTCCAGAGTTTTCTAGAGTATTCCACTCAGACTCCTGTGTTCTCCTGGAATCTTACCTTGACTTCACATTGGTCTTCAGAGCATCCTGAGGGCCTTGGCTGGGCTTCTGGTACTTGAGGTGCTTAGGCTCTGGATAAGACTATTAGAAGACATGGGGCTTCACCTCCTCAGTCCACTGAGCCAGAGTGGCCCAGGTCCTTCCAGACAGAGGCATCCAGTCAGTGGCTGTGATGGTGGAGGCATGCGGACACCGTGAAGCCACGCTCCCTGACCCCCAGCTCTCTCGCCTGCAGATCGTGAAAGCCAGAACCTGCCTGTGAGCCCTGGGTGGCCAGGGACAAAAAAGTTTTTTAGGCACCCCTGCCAAGCTCACAAGCCCACCCTGAAGGGGCTGCTGGCACTTTCTAGACAGGGGTTTGCAGGAGCTGACTTGTGGCTTCCCAAGGCCACGTACAGTATACAGACAGTAAGCAGATCAGCACCCTAACCCCAGATGGGCCTTTAGGGGAAACTTGGGGTTTTTCTGCAGGTTCTGTTTAGGGTGCTTGATCCTGAGGCAGGCTGAGGTGCTGTGGGGTGATGCCCTGCAAGAGACAATGAGGTGGCAGTTTTGCAGCTGTCTAGGCTAACCTGAGCACATGTGCTGTCACTTGGGGCTTTTTGTTGGCTGTTTACACAGCGTGAAAAGCCCAGCGGCAGCAAGCAAAGACCAAACAGTTCCTTCTCCTGGCCAACCCCTACCCACCCAGGTATTCCTGCCGAGGTTTCCCCAGCCACTAGAATGCTGATGACCAGGCCTGCCGGGGAGTGGAGGGGGTGTCCTGCTACTCCCAGCCTTATGGTCTCACAGAAACTGCTTTTATATTCTGATGACAGAACCTATGATTTGAAGACTTGCATTTAATACTTAATCTCTCCTTTGGAAAAAAAATGAATCAGAAACACCTGTAAGAACTAGGTTTGGTTTTGAGCCTTGTGGATAATTGCTGTTACTCCCGCTGAGCATGGGCTTGGTTTTGTAACGTCTGTGTGCCTTGACCTCCACATCTAGAAAGCTGGAGTGTTGAGAACACATACTTCATAGAACAGTGGACATGAGAGAGCATGGTGGTGGACAGATGAAAGGCTGGGCTCTGCATCTCCTGATTTTGACTTCTGGCTCTGTGTGTTGGGATCATAACAGGACCACTGTGTGGTGTTCAGTGTCAAGTAAGTTAAAATCCTAAAACTCTTTCAGTGTGGCCTGGCATAGTCAATATGCTATCGACAGCATCTGACTAGTCATGCCTGGGATACAGGAAAGCCCAGTGCTCGCTTCAGCAGCGTATACACTAAAACATAGCAAAGCCCAAATTAACATGTCTCATTCAAGTGTGTGCTTCCAAAAGGAAATTGCAATCTTATCTATTCTGATACAGCTGATTTCCACTGGGCTTTATGTTATCCCCCAGATACTGAGACCCTTTGAGTTAGGGATAGATTCATCCAAATGCCTGCCTTGGTTGATCTGGAAGAAAGGTGAAGAGAGAAGTGATACAAAGCTTGGGAAGGATTTGCCTTTGGTGCAGGTGTGTCTGTGCTGCTGGTTTAGAGCCCTGAAGGGCATGGTGAAAGCCATGAATAGAGACCCAGTAAACCCTTAGCTGGACTCTTAGAGCCTTGGCACATCTTGAACAGAGATAAAAGGAGAGACTCAGACTTAAAGAGAGGGCTGTTTCTCTGACTTGTGGAGATAGCTGGGTGATCTGTTGAACCTTGTGGGGACAGTACCCTAATTTTTTCAATTGCTTTTTTTCTGTCTTACTCAGGACCTTTTGCATTTATTCTCACTGCATAAAATGATCTTCTTTACTTTTTTGCTATCACCATTCAATTTTTGTTCCATTAACAACAGCTTCATTAGTCAGAACTCTGCCATTCGTAGCACCAAGATACCTGGCTTCCTATCTCTTAAGAGCAGCGTGACCTCAGGTAAACATCAACCCATTTTGTGCCTTTTTTTGCACTGCTGGTTGTTATGAGTTACCACTGTCAGGTGTCAGCTTAATTATTGTTCTTCCATCCAAGCAAAGACATGTCTATTTTGGTTAAAAAGAAAAACGAACCCTGTTTCTGAGATCTTTATATTCATTTATTGAGATACCGAGGACAGAATGCAGGTCCTCTCACATACGAGACAGGTATTACAGTGGTGAGTTCTATCCCAGAGCTTTGTAAATTTTATTTTGAGACAAGGTCTTGCTAAGTTGTCCAGTATGGGCTCAAACCTGTAAACCTCCTTCCTGCCTCAGCCTCCCCTGGTATTTAGATTGCAGGCACAGGCAACCACACCTGGCTCAGGGGCTCATTTTAGGTTCAGAGTAGTCCCCTAGTCAGGTCTCCCTTGTTCTGCACCAGCCTCGGGTACAGTCACAATGAAGTAGAGCCAGCTTTGGGATTGCGTGTCATTTTTCACATGGTTCTGTCTTCATAGCGATTGCCTCACTGTGACCCATTGTTTGTTCAGCTGATTATCAGTCTATAGTTACTGGACAGAGGAGGGTTCTGTGGTGAACGTGGGGAAGCGGGGGTTAACCAAAGCCTCAGCTGTGTCTTCTCCGCAGAGTGTTTTGTTGATTTTTCTGGGGCTAAGGGGAACTGTCAATATTGCTTACTATTGTTCAGCACAAAACTTACTCTAAGAAATGCAGCGTGGTGCTGCTGTCCTCAGGGCTCACCCCAAGAAGTGCTACCTGGTTTTCCAAGCATCTACCACCACTGTATCCACGCCACCGCTGCACAAACAGGCACACGCAAGGCTAGTGATGTGGCGCCATCCAGCTTCTGATGGTGAGTCTGCAGCACAGCGTGACTGATGGTGTCTCTTTTTATCCGCTTTCCCCAAACAGAGAAGGAGACCTTCTTGGACCCTTTCGTCCTCCGGGACCTCCTGCCTGCATCCCTGGGCAGCTACTACCGGTACACAGGTTCCCTGACCACCCCACCGTGTAGTGAAATTGTGGAGTGGATCGTCTTCCGGAAGCCCGTGCCCATCTCTTATCACCAGGTAGAGCCGCTGCCCCATGGGGTGCGTCCTTGTCTACTGGTTTTATGTTGACTTAACTCCACAGCATTGCTAGATGACACCAGTAAGGTTTGCACTTTGTTTTTTAATTCTCTGCTTTGCACTAAGTTCTTCATTCTTTCCATCAAACTGTTTTATGGGGGTGTGGGGTACCAGGGATTGAACTCACAACCCCGTGCTTGCCAAGCAGGCACTTATGCCGCTGGGCTAAAGCCCCAGCCCTCATCAAACATATTTTTAAATGCAAAAAATGGTATAATGTGAAATACGGATTCTCAGCTAAAAATGAACTAGCAGAGGGGAATTTCAGGCATGAAATGAGGCATCACATAGAGACTGTCTTGAAGAGGTGATAGGTGTCATCCATAATGATACCTTATACCAGAGATTTTGTAAGCTCTTGAGTGTCAGCCTGTTCATACCTCTTGAACTTCAGACTTATAAGACAGGTGCTCTTTTGTACCCCATTTCATAGAGAAGACCAAAGGTTATGGCAGGTAAATAATTTTCCCAAGATCTCACAACTGGTATCCAAGCTATGGTATCTAATTGAGAAAAAAAAAATCTCAGATCACTAAGCCCGTCATAGTTCAGAAAAAAGAGAGGTTTGCAAACACAAGGAAAGGAAGTAAAACATATTATTGACTGAGCTTTTCCTGAATGACAGTGTTTAACTAAGCACTTTACATCTGTCAACCTGAAGCAGTTAAGAGATGGGTGTTACTGTGACCTGGCCCATGTGGGAGAATTTAATATGAGGAGGGTGAGAAATGTGCCCCAGGACCCATGATTAACAAGTGAGAAAGCCAGAAGCCAAAAAATGTTAGTTTTCAAACATTCAGCCTGCACTAAGATCTGTGAGGAAGGGAGCTTGAGCCACTGATCGGATGTCTGGACAGGAAAGGGCCTCTCTTGGAAATGCCCCCCTGCCGCATCCTACCAGCCTCACACCTGAGGAGAGCACTGAGTTGCAGGGAGGGAGGGAATTGTGGAGTTAGGTGATAAGGGCAGTAAGGTAACTAAAGACACTGCAACAAGCTTTTGAGCCTGGCTGGCACAGGGAATATTCCCAAGATTTTCCTAACGAGGATAGAGGTGAGACACAGCGCCCCAAGGGGCTCATGTAAAAGGCAGTATTTTAAAAGAGCATCAGGAAGGGTCTTCCAAGAGAGAGCCAGAGGAGGCTTCTCTTGAGCAGGACTGGAACTAGAAAGCGAAAGTGCATGGGTTTTCTCTGTCTTGCGGAGCCCATGTCATCTCAGAAATGTTGGACTTTCTGATGTACCATTGGGATCAGATCTGTAGTTTTGCAAAATTCTGGACCTTAGTTCCTCACGGCTTGCTTTCCGTTGCCCTGGTACCTGTTGATCATTAAACTGAAGGGCTGCTGACTGCTTGACCAGAGTCTGGGTCTAAGGTCAGGTTTTTTGTTGTTGTTGCTGTTTTTAACACCAAGCACCTTTATTAGAAAAGAAGAAAGTTACGAAATATCCTCACATATTTCCTTAAGAAATTAAAAATAAAAGACAGAAACCAAAAAGCAAATAGGAGAAAATAACACCAAAAACAAATAGGAGAAACTAATAAAGATTAGAAAGCACAATCCCTTATCACAATGCCGATATAACTTTTCACTAAAATTAACATTTTGATTCTTACATTTCTGTACAAATACAAAAGAGTCACAATAGTCTAAACAACTTTGGTAAAAGAACAAAATTAGAGCTCCAACTCTCCCCAATCCAACAACTTATCACAAAGTTATACCAATCATGACAAAATGGCACTGATATCAAGATAGACAAACCACCAAGTACCAATATGAAGTCCCAGAATAGATACCCACATAACAGACAATTGATTTCTGGCAAAGATGCAAAAGCAATTAAGTGGAGAAAGGATTGTGCTTTCAATAAATATACTAGAACAACTGAATATTCACATGCAAAAACCCCAAACCTTAAGCACATCCAAAGTTTCTTAAGACACCCAAAAGTCAACTCGGAATGGCTCACAGTGAGTTAGTTATAGTAAAGGCGGGTGTGACCTGAGCCCTTGCTTTGGCTGAGGTCATTCTCTCTGGGACAAGGAGTAGAAGGGAAGGTACAGAGGTGTTCGGTGAAGGGAGACAGTGAATTTGCTTATGAGCAGGCTATGTGGATGACAAAGGAGGCCAGTGTGCTGCTGCTTTAACTATCTTAACTACTTTTTATATACATATACACGCACATGTACATGTTTTTTTCTTTTAGCTTGTCACACTAATGAAACAATATGATGTTTATACATACGTGTCATTTATTTCACTAATAAGTATATTCTCAAGGCACATCCATTTACCTATAAAAGTCTCCAGTTTATCATTCTTTATGGTGAGTAGTATTCCATTGTATCGAAATATCATATATTTTTTATTGACTCCTCATTCCATGGGCGCTTAAGTTGTTTCCAAGATCTAGCTGTTACAAATTGTGCTGCTATAAACATGCATGCACATGTATCGCTGTGATATGATGTTTTTAATTCTTTTGGGAAGATACCTAGACGGGGAATAGCTGGGTCAAATGGGACCTCCAATCCTAGTTTTTTGAGGAATCTGCATGCTAAAGGTCGGGTTTGTAAGAAGATAGTTCTGAGTAGATATTGGCCACATACCTAATCAGCTGGCCGTGAGTCGTGGTCTGTCTTTGAACAAGTCATTCAAGATTCTGGACACCGAGGGTAGGCTCTCAAGGGGAGTGGGACAGGTTCTTGAGAGGGCTGCAGGGGAGGGGAAGTGAGTCGGTGTTGGTCCAGGCCAGATGGATTTAGGTGGCCTCACAGCTGTTGGCAGACAGTCTGAAATATTTCCTTTAAATTTCTCTGACAGAAAAAAAGAGGGGCCGGCACTTTGGTTTCTGAACAGGATTTGCCAACCATAGCAGGTTAGAAATAAGAAGTTTTCTTCTTACTAAGGTGAAGCAAACATTGTTTTATTAAAGAAAAATTATATTACTTATTTAACGTTACAATACTTCGGTGGGGCTGAGGGAAGAACTTTTTAAGGGATCCTTTAACACCCCAGATAATTAGTGTCTGAGCAAAAGGCACAGTGTGGGACTTTTATGCCTGCACAGGTGTTTGTCACTCTAGGTGTTCGCCTTTGATAGCTAGAGACTTAGAAAGTGTTTGGTACCTGTTTCCCCATCTACTCTGTACTCCTGGGACTCTAACAGAGAGGACAGAGTGGAGGCTGCTTTCCAGTACTTGACCTCTCTGTATCGTATTTCAGGGAATCCGAAGAAATCAGTTCTCATTTTGCCTTCCAGCTTCGTTCCAACAAACTGTCTTTGAATAATCTTTGCTTTTATCGGGTGCTGCTGTGTAGACAGTTCACACTCAAGTGGCCGGAAGGGCACTTCAAGCACTGTGGAGGTCACAGCTGAGTCAGCCTTAGAGGCGAGCGTGGCCCCCCACGTATGATCACTGCAGACTTCCCACCCTTGCCCTGCCTGCATTTTTTTCCCCCTGAAAGTTAGTGCAGAATGTTCATTTCAGAAAGGCAAACAGCCAGTTTGAGAAAGCCAAGTGGTTAGGAATTCCATGTCAGCTTCCATCAGAAAGAAAACATTCTAAGTCTTTTGCTCTTGTGATTTTCAAAAGCTTCTGTCTCCTCTCCTATCCCAAGCCCAGTGAGGGTGCCGGAAACAGCCTTACAGATAAGACGTAGTGCTTAGCACAGGCTACTGCGGCCTGGATGTGGGTTTCTAGAAGCCTTTCTGAGTGCACTGGAGTGACTGCTGTCTTGCCTCTATCCTCTTTCATTTCAGCATAGTCATTCAGGGAGCCCAGCCCTGTGCCCAGTGAATGTGCTTGTGGCCCGTGTGGACGATTTTCTAGGTCATGGGGATTCATGGTGCTGCCCACGGACTCACACGGCAGCTTGGTCCTAGGCAGACCGTGTAGTTTGCACAGCTCCACAAGCCTCTCCTGTAAGTGTGGGGCGGAAGGCAGACCACAGTCTCAGCACTCGCTATAGTGTGGGTGCTGAGCGCTGCAGATTGGGCCATGGAGACGGAGCCTGGAATGTGTTCCTGAGCCCTCAGAGGGTGATTTTCTCTGAGTGCTGCGTACGGGAGTTTGTTTTGTTCTGGAGCAGAGTTTTTCAGTATGCTGTGGCCACCGGCACCTGTCCCAGTGCTCCTTTGCCAGCACTGTCACCTTCTGGAGGTCAAAATATGATACCTGTTATTCTGTGCAGCAAGAGTTTTCTGTAAGTGCTTCCTGGGGGTGCTGTTAAAAAGGCAGTCGATAAGCCAGGCATGAGAGTGCATGTCTTTAGTCCTAGCATTTTGGTAGGCTGAGGCAGGAAGATGGCAAGTTCAAGCCCAGTTTGGGCAGTTTTTCAGTGTAGTGAGACCTTGTCTCAAAATAAAAAATTAAGTAACAAGTTCGAATGTGTCTAATTTATTTGCCTTTGGGTTTGTTTTTGTTTTTGAGGGCAGGTGGCTAACCAGTAAACTGAAGTAAATAGAAAAGCTATCTGCATGACCCTCTATGAGAAAAAATTACTTTTTTTCATGAAGACTAGAGCATCTTTAGCATTAGACCAAGTGCTTATGAAGCAGACTTCCCCAGACTTTCCATTCTTGGCTCCATGCTTTGACCAAATGCTAAACTACCCTGTTACTTAGTACCTCAGTTTTTCCATCTATGAAATGGTCACAGTAGGGCACCATAGAGTTAAAATGAAGGGGTGTCCCTAAAATGCCTAGACTTGTTGCCTGGTACCATAAAAAATGCCTGAAGATTAATTAGGTGGTATTTTGTTGCTGCTGTTAAATGTTTGCCAGTCCTGAAAGGCAGTGTTGCCCAGTGGAAATAAAACAATCCATAAACATCATTTTACATTTTTTCCTAATCAATGAAAAAAACCTTAAAGAGCTACAGGTGAAATTAATTTTATGGACATAGTTCATATATCCAAACTATCAGTCCCATGGAGGCTGGTCCCATTTTTAATGACATAGCTGTGAGTGGCTGCTGGTTGTCACAGCTCTGATATGTCTCAAGGCTGTGACACCTAGTATGAGGCACTCACATCAGAGAGTTTTGATTCCAGCACTAAAGGGTGTGAAGTACATGCGGACGAAAACGATTCCTAAGAGCTGATCATACGATGCCACCATCAACTCCAAAGAGTTCGCTCTGCTGGTTAACTGCGGTGCAGTGCTTTTCTCTCTGCAGAAGACCTCCCTGTAGAGCCACCTTGGACCACAGGAGGGACGAGGCTGCCTTTAGCTCACAGTTCTCAGCTTCCTTTCTGCAGTGGTAGTTCAGTAAGTAAACTCGGATGCTGCAGGGTACTGGGAATTTAAAACAGAAGTTTCTTGGTGACCTTAGGTGAGATGGCCTAGTGCCTGATGCTTACTGTCGGGTTGGTTACTGTGCTATAAAGGATGTGTTTCATTGCCTCTGTATGTCTGTCCCTAAAACACTGCATTTCAACCTTGCAATGGTTCATAATTTTAGTACTTTTGGTTTCCTCTCACTTCTCCCTTTAGCTACGTGGTCCCCTCCCCACATCTTGGGGACAAATGCTTTTGCTGCACAGGACTGGCATGAATAGATTTCAGCTCTCCTTTGATTCTAACCAATAGATTAAAAACTAATTATTCTCTGTAATATTTTTATAATAAAAACTAAGTTGAAATGATTTATATATACTTCCAGCCAACACATTTGCAATTCAAGGTTAAAATTGTTCTTGAAACAGCACCAGTTAAAATGCAATTACAACTCCCTGAGCAGGGATAAAAAGAAAGAAATGTTTTACACATTCACTTCAAAAGTTTAAAAGTCAATTTAATATTATAGGAATAAAAACTTTCATTTATTTTTGCTAAATGATAAAGACTTAATGAGTTAAAGTAAAGATAAATCCCAGTGTGTTTATTACCTGCCTGTAGGACAGGCTTGGGCTTTTGGTGTGGAGAGTACTTTTCCTTGGGCCCCCGACTTGATCACACAGCCTGCTTCATCCTGGGTGGGGCCAGCGAGGGTGAATTCTTGTTCCCAATTCTAGATCCCCTGCCCGGAACAGCCTCAGGGTCAGCTGAAAGGAGTTGTTTGGGGACTCGAATCCCCACAATTAATTTCTCTACAAGGTGCTTCTTCTGCAGTGGTTCTGCTGGACTGAATTGCACTGTGGCACAAAGTCTTGAGAGTAAGAGACAGTGGCAGAGACCTAGGTTTTAATACTCACTTCCACGTCGGTTCCTGTGTAAGCTGAGGCCAGTTACTTAATGTCTCCAAGCCTGGTTCTCTTGTCAGTCAATCATACTAATACTGTTAATGACAATAATGCCACCAGCTGCCTAGAATGTCTGTGGCGATTCAGTTATGGACATGACATACTGCTTCGGACACAGTGCCTCGCACATAGTAGGCACTCCATAAATATAAGCTAGTGTTATTATAATAGCATTACTGTTACTTTCATGTTATTGTTTTAAGCTAAAAAGAGATTAGAAAGTGCTTGACAAATATCTGGCACATAATAGACTTGATAAGTATTAGTAGTAAGAAAAAAGGGAAAGGCACAAACAGCACGTGGCAGCTTCTAGTGTGCAACCCGTGTAGTACAGTCACAGTTACCATGTTCTTTATAAAATAACAGCACGGCTGATAATACCGATTTAGCACCTCCTGTGTGCCAGGAATGACTCCAAGTGTGTTATATCTAGAAACTTTTAATAATAAGAACAACCCTGTAAGTAGATAGTAATGTTGTCTTTGTCATACTGATAAGGACAGTGAAGTACAGAAGGGTTAAACAAAGTGACATTTACCAAGTTGGGTTTCAAAGCAGAATTTTGAGCCTCGGTAGCAAGGGTGAGCTTTGGAGTTGGACACTTAGGCACAGACTAGACCTTGGGGGCCCACGCTTAAGAAGGGGAGACTCGGAAAGAGTAAGAAAGAAATGTGCTGTGGCCTTTTGTGTTCATGTTAAAGGAGCACTGGGTAGCTTATCACCAGACCCAGAAGGGTGGCCACGCGGGCAGGGAAACACAGCTTTGCATGGTTTGTCTCTGGCTCTGCGGTTCCCTAGGGCTGCCGTGTCACGGGGGTATCAGTGGACCCCCTGACTGGATGAGCACTGCTCCCTGCCAGTGTGAGGATTGTGGCCTTCTCTTCCCCATCCACGAACCACCTACTGGCCAACCACGCAAGCTACCAAGGAGAAGGCCACTGGCAGTTTCTGTTCCGCTGAGAGCAGTGACAGTGTTTTAGGGAATGCTGGCCACCTGCCCCAGCCATTTGCTAAGTCTGCTCCGTTTGTCATCCTTGGCGAACTGCGTTGTATGACAGTGAAATATTCAGGTCACCAGTTCGCCCTCAGAGCTAGCCCATCTTCCCTTCAACTTCCGTGGGCAAGTTGAGTTAATGACAAGACCAGAGCTTTTAAGCAATAGCGTGTCATTAAGCTGTGAGAGCAATTTAAGAGAAGGCATTTTTGTGTTATGTTCAGAACCTGCCTCTTTTTACAGCTATATGACTATTTTCCTGAGGCCTCAGAAATAAACTTCAGAGGAGAACTGAACGCTAGCCCTGAGAAATGCAAGTATTCTAAAGAATAAAAAACGGGAGTCCTACTGCCTGACATTCTCCATTGCTGTGCTTTTCTCAGATTTCGGGGATTAAGCTACTTCAGGACAGATCATGGTCTCTTCCAGAAAGTTTCTGTCTAACTTGCTGTGTGTGGCAGACCCCTCTGTCTGTTTAAAAAGCCTCCAAAAGTTAAGGGCTTCTACCCTTTATTTTACTCACAGCTCTGTGGCTTTAACTTAAGCCAGTTTCCTTTTATTTGGCCTTCCCTAGAAATAGAGAAGAGCCGGTCAGCAGCTTCCACATTCAAGGCCTGTTATCAGATTCCTCTTCCCTTGCCCTTTTTCCAGGCTAAACAGTTCCGAGTCCTTTAACCTTTCCTTTAACCTTTCCTCCTGGGACCGATTTACCATCCTTTATGTCATTTTCTTTGGCCTTGCCTAGCCCAGCTCCAGAGGGTCTTTGTCAGTTCCTTTCACATAATTCAGGAAATCATTTTCTCTAAGCAGAAACCTGTGCTTGTTCTTTGATGCCTGCAGTTTGATTTTGGTAATCTTGTTGAGTGAGTCACGTCAGGTTGAAGTGATTCTTCAGTACCTTATTTAGCTCTTCATCTAACACTTATCTCTGGATGCCTAAACAGCTTGGTTGTCTTAATTTTTTGTGTGTGTGTCATTTATTACTTTCTCTCTCATGAACTAGGAAGCATGGGAAGGAAGGTTCCTTTGGCTCGTAGGTGGGACCAGGACCATCCTGCTTGTGTCACCCCATGAGAGGCTGGACCTGTGTGGTTTCTGTGTGGTTTGCTCCCACCTTACATAAGCAGTAGAGTAAGAGAGGAGGTGCAAGGATTATGCTTAGCTAAAATTTCCCTGTGATTTCATTACTTTCTCATGCAAAAAGAGTTTCACAATGTCAGAAGCAGGCATTTTCTGGGTCACCGTGGAGGCTGTTGGAGAAGCAGTGGTCCTAGCTACAGACTTTTAAATGACCACTAAGAATGAGCAAAAGTCGAGGGTATTTCCTTCTTTATTTGTTATTTTATCCGGTAGTATTAGTTGTCCCATGGTCCCCAAAGCCTGCAGTAGCCCCTGCACAGCTGCTTGGAGAGCAAGGGTCCGAACTCCAGAGCAGCTAGTTGTGCCCTGCTCAGCAGCACATCTGCCCAGCCCTAGGTGAGCAGTAGGAGTCAGAGGGCAGGAGCAGTGCCTGCAGTGTCCCTCCTCATCCCAGGCTTCATTCCCCGCCCCAGGGAGGTAACATTGCTGAGGACTGCGCATGTCAGGCGATGGTTCATTTCTTCGGCAACAAGAATAATTTTGTAGTTCGATGAGCACAAGTCTCTGACAGTCAGCTACTGTAGTGTCACATACAATAAAATGACCGTTCTTAATGATGAGAGTATTGGTGGTCACACAGAGAAATCTTTTTGATAATAAAAATAAGATATTGGAGCTCTGATTGTTGTTGTTTTCATTGCTTTTCCCAAAAAGTTTTGCCAGCACTTTGGTGGGTGATGTTTAAAAATAACAATGATAGCAAATTTTTATTAAAGCCATTCCATATACTAAGTAACTTACATAGGCTTATCTTTTTAGGAACCTAAAAGATAGGTTGTACATTACTGATGTTTGACAGATGAGGAAATTTCAGTTCTAGATCGCTTGAATGGTTTGTGCATAATTACCCACATAGTAAATGTTGGACTAGGGCACTTTAACTTACACGTGTTTAGCATTTGGTGACTTGGCTAATTTGGCACACAGTTTACCAGAATAGGCTTATTAATAAGGTTTAAATGACTGATCTTACTGAGATATGCCTGGAACTGTATCGGGGGACTGCTTAGATGAAGTGTTTTGTCAGCATGCTGTGTTGATTAACTGGAATCCTATAGATAGATGCTGTTCATCATATCATCATTTTATTGAGGGCATGGGGCACTCAGGGAAGCTGAACAGTTTGCTTTGTGTTCAGGCAGTGGAGGCAGGGCTCATAACCAGGTATTCCGGCTCCTTGGACCAGTTCTGTGCTCCTGCCCTGACCACTAGAGATCTGCCAGGGAGAACTGCAGAAAAGTCTCGCATGTGAGACTCACACCCCAAGTGTACCTGGATCGCCCCAGAGTGATAAACCTCCTGCCTTCTGAGTACATCTGCCCGGGAACCAGTGCCTCCTGCCAGTTTATGTTCTTGTCACCTGCACTTGCTTTGGGTCACATAGCTTTTTCTTTCCCCTCTCTGGTTCTCTCCCTGTTTAGCTCGAGGCTTTTTATTCCATCTTCACCACGGAGCAGCAAGACCATGTCAAGTCAGTGGAGTATCTGAGAAATAACTTTCGGCCACAGCAAGCTCTGAACGACAGGGTGGTGTCCAAGTCCGCTGTCCATGATGCCTGGAACCACGACATGGCAGACTTCTTAGAAAACCCACTGGGGACAGAAGCCTCGAAAGGTAAATTCAAATTAAGTACCCTGCTAAGGAAAAAGATTTCTTGTCATCCATTACTGTAAGTTGAGAGGAGTTCAAAGCCAGCCAAGAATGGGAACTCAGGGGTAAAAGCATATGCCCGACTTCTAGGAGAAACTTGTCTGGGTGATAAATACAAGCTACAGTTATGGCAATAACCTTGGTTAAATAGATATGTTAAAAATCACCCTTCTGACTAGGTATAGATGAGTCATTTTCTCTGGATTTTTACCTTGTGTTTCGAAACTTACTAGCAGTATCTGAAGGAAGCTTTCTGGAGAATGTCTTCCTTTTTAACTGTTTCCCTGTTGTCATTAAAACTCTTCTGTGAGCTTAAGCCTCAGGACCTGGGATTGCTCCCGGCACCCCAGTGTCTGGTGGGCTGCTCACATCTTACCCCCCCCCCAAGGACCTCAGTTCCTGCTCTGCGCACCTTCTGCAAGTCACATGCATTCTATAGCTAGCAGTTCAATTCCCATATCTGATCAGCTGGAGCTTATCATTTTCAGTTATCTCAATCTTCTCCATTTCTGCTTTCTCATGGGAAATGAACACAGATTTCACTCCCCAGAAACTAGGGAGTCTGATTGTCCCTGAGCCCTTTGCTCTTGGGCTCTGGGTTTTGTCAGAGTTGTTTGAGCAGCTTGGCAGTACAAAGCTGGTCAGAGGTCTACTTGGAAGCAAGGAAAAAGAGAGAATTTTCTTATGGTGTAAAGAGAAGAGTGTTTCTCTGCCCAGTGTTTTCGTCCTTTGGAAGTAAGCTTGATGACATGGGAAGGTTTGTGTCATAGTGAAGTGCCACTATGTCAGTAGATCATTTGGGCTGGTTGTGGTGCCACACTTGTGTTATTCCAGCACTTGGGAGGGTAAGGCAGGAGAATCACTGCATGTTCGAGGCCAGCCTGGACTGCATAGTGAATTCAAGGCCAGCCTAGACTATATGGCAAGATCTTGTCTCAAGTAAACAAAAATAGCACTGTTCACTGGGAACAACAGGGAGAGCTAAGCTTAGAAACCTGTGAATTTCCTTAGTTCAGGCCAACATAGAAAACCTCACTTGGACTCTTTTTTTTTTTTTTTTTTTAACTTAGCTAAAAATAAAGAAAATAACAAAACCCACAGGCCTCTTCTCAAGAGAACTTAATGGAGAAGAATGAGACTCTTGGGAATTTTTGAGACATATGCAGAAGACATTCAGGTGTGAGGAATCATATCCAAAGTCAGCACAAGATCTGGGAGCTCGGGATTGCTGAGATCTTGACAGTGATGCAGTTCTTGCCTGGAAAATGGGCTGAGCATACAATAGTTGTTTCAGCTGTGTAGAGAGAATGCATGGCTTCTGTTAGGACAACGGGCAGGGTGCTGGCTTGTCTAGCATGAAAGGGTCAAAGTCAGCGAGATCTGCTTCTCCTTGGGCATAGGCTTTGGACCCACTCTGAAATGTTCAGAGTCAGTTCTTCATTCTTCAGGGTTAGTTCCAGTTGTCAGTGTGGCCATGGCTGATCTTACAAAATGGGAATGATAACATAATTTCTGACCTTTTGGGGGGGGGAGATACCAAGATTGAGGTACAATCCTGTTTGAATTTTTAACATTATAGAAAAGTAAAAACTTTCCCTCTCTCCTTGACAACTGAGAGCTTGACAACTGAAAGTAAAATCAGCTAAAAGTAGGGAGAGTAACAGGAGAAAAGTTTATCACATGTCAAGATTCCTCACATGAAAGAAAAGTGAGTACCTGTTATAGTTCAGATCTAGAATGTCTCTCTGGAGTCTCATGTTCAGAAGATGGGGCTTTTGTAAAGTGACTGGATCACAGATCTCAGGAGTGCTTTGCTCATCTGCTTGGTTTTGGGTTTTTTGTTTGTTTTGTTTTTGCCTTTTTTGAGACAGGGTCTCACTATGCAAGTCAGGCTGGCCTTGAACTCACTTTGTAGCCCAAGCTGGTCTCAAACTCATAATAATCCCCTTCCTCGGTCTCCTAAGTGCTGGGATTACAGTTGTGCACCACCATGCCTGGCCAATGCTTTGCTTATCTGTTGATTGACAAGTTCAGAAGTAAATGCCCTTAGAAAAGGGGACCTGGTTGGAAGAGGAGCAGCGCTGGGTGCATTGTTAAAGGATAAGTCTCACTTCCTGGCTCCTCCTCTGTCTGAGCAGCTTTCCTCTGCCACACCCTTCACAATTCCCTTTCCATCTTGGATCCTGCCAACCATGGACTGGAACCTGAAATCCAGGAACCAAGTGAAACTTCTGCACCTGTAAGCTATGGGCATAGGTGCTTCGTCTCAGCAACAAGAACCCAAAGACCCTGTGGGTCCTGGGTGTTTCATTTTCATAGACAAAGTCAGGAGTCAGTGTGCACCTTGGTGGAAAGTAAGGATTTTGGAAAGGCTGAATGGGCCCTGAGGAGAACAGGTGGCAGCTTGTTACCTCTGCTATGTGGGCAGCTTGGGGCCACCTCCAGTCTCTTCTCTCTCTCTTTTTTTTTTAATTGGAACTCAAGACCGCCTGCTTGCAAGGCAGGTGCTTATGCTGCTGAGCTAAATCCCCAGCCCCCAGCCCCCAGCCTCGCCTCTTGCAATAGGAGTTAGTTTTTTCAGGTCAATGAGAGTTCAGGGAGCAGATTGAAGACCACTGAGTTCCTTTTGGAGAGTTGACCTCAGGTAGACAAGGGAAGCTCAGAGGTAGCCCCCTGCCTCCCATCACCTGCATTCACCAAATTCCCTCAATTTGAAGTCCAAAGTAGCATATGTGGATGTTGCATTTCCTGAGCTCCTCCTACATATTACTAGAATGGCACATACGTGCACAAAAGTGCAGGTGCCATCCATGCGTGACTTGTCCCACTGTCACACACTGAACACACCCAGTTACAGCACTCAGCTCAATAAACTACCATCCCTAGTATGCCAGGAGTTGCCCACCCACTTCCTAATGGCAACCACTGCTGGAGATTAGGTTCGCCTGTTCATGCAGTTCAGGGACATAGAATCATCTAGGTAGCACATCCTCTTTATGTCTTCCTTTTTCAGCTGTATATGGTTTTGAAAATTCTCAGTGCTGTTGCGTAGAGTTGTGTTTGTTCTTTTCCACCGCTAAGTTCTACTGTGTGACTGCTCCAGATCCCATCTACCCAGTATTCCTCAATGTGTGGCTAATGTGTAAGTTGTACTGATCATGAACAATTCTTGGGCATGCCTTTCAGTAGATGTATGGACACAACTCTGGTTATGTACTCAGGGGAATAGTTGCATCCTAGAGTCCATAAGTTTCGCTGTGGCTGGACAGCATTCCACAGTCACTGACCGTGTACTACTTTACAGTCTTGCGGGCAGTATGAGAAAGCCCTGCTCCTCCCAGTACTGAGGCTTAACCCAGGACTGCACACTTTCAGGCAAGCTACATTGAGCTATACCCCGCCCCCTTTTTAACAGATTTAAAAACAAAAAAATAGTCTGCACACTATAAAATTCAGTTTTTGTAGTTGTACAACCCAGTTGGTTTTTGTGTTTGGTTGTGTGACCAATGCTGTCGCCGAAGTTTTAGAGCTGTCTTCCTGCCCTCCTCACAGATGGTTTCTATGTGCCTGTTGTCAGTAGTCTCTCCTGACCTCAACCCCTGGCAAGCCTCGATCTGTTTTTCTTACACTCAGTGGTGTGATTTTAAGAGATTTATCTGTGTTGTGGTATGTACCAAAAGGCCATTCCTTTTGTTACCAGACAGCAACCTCTTTGATTTTTAATAGATTTGATGAGATTTTACTCATTCTATAAAGTTTGCAGATTTCAAATGTACACCTCAGTGGTCTTTGGTACATTCGCAGAGTTACACAACCATCATCACTGTCTACCTCCAGAATGTTTCATAACCCCACAAAGAAACTCCCTGCCCACGAGCAGTCTGTGCTCCCTATTCTCCTTCCCTTCCTGTCCCAGCCCTCTCTCCCTCAACCCCAGATAGCCATTGATCTATTTTGTGTCTCTGTGGAGTCATCTATTCTGTACATTTCTTGTAAAGGGATCATAGAATGTATGACGTTTTGTCTCTGGATTCTTTCACTTAACATAATATTTTTAAAATCCATGAGTATGGGGGCATGAATTAAAAATTCAGTTTTAGCACTGTATGAATGCACCACATCTTCATGTCTCAGTTATAAGTATTTCATGTATTCTCATTTTTGGGGATATTATTAAGGATGCTTCTCTGCCTATTCATGTTCAAAATTTTGTATGAACATGTTTTCAGATCTCAAGAGTAGAATTGCTGCCATATCATAACTCCGAGTTCAGTTTTATGGAACTGCCAAACTGTTTTCTGAAGGAGTGAATGGCACCTGTTTGTATCCCCATCATCACGACTGATTATTGTGCATCTTTTTATTTTAGCCATCCTAGTAAATGTGAAGGCATTCAATTTTTGCAGTACTTGTGATTTTCATTTCCCTCATGACTAAGGCAAAACTTTTTGCTTGTATAAGCACATGACCTGAAACTCTAACTTAACTAAATGTACCTCCTTTTCTCCCTAAGAAAATTGAGGCAATTGAGCAACACTATAGACAGAAAGCCATAGATGGTCATTATCCTCAGACAACCTGGAAGGCATACCTCAGTGCAGGCAAACCTTTTAGAGACCGAGTGACCAAACTGCAGCCCCAAACCCAAACTCATTTATTTATCACAAAGTGCCAACACTGCAATTAAACCTAAATATCACATTTTAGTTGAGAAAAAACAGGTTATACATTAATATCTTTTATCTTAGAAGAAAATACAGCATAACATACGAGCCATAGGTTTACCACCACTGACCTAGATGGTTGATCTGAGAGGGATAACCAGTCAAAAGGCAATGCAATGAGAATGCTTTTCTTTTCAAAGTTTTCTACAAATAAAAAGGCCTTTAAAGGTAGGAGAATATATTCTATGATCTTTGGATAATTCGCAAAGAACAAAGCCTATGTGACCGGCATTCTTTGTC